TTCTCCAACGACTAAATTTATTCATCTTAGCTAAATATGATCATGGTATTCGTATGGCGTTGGGTGTCTTTTAGAATGCAATATCGCCGCGTCCTGTAATAGCTAGCTGACTGTGTAGCAACGGTAGAAAGAGCTGTAACCTAAGCAGCCGCACCTCCTTACATAACCCTATTTCTCCTATCACTTTAAAAGACCTAGCGCTAGCCATTGTCATTATATACACTTATATAAATGGAATGCCTGTATTATATAACTTTAGACAACGGGTGGAAAGTGGAAAGGAAATGGGTATAGAGGTCAGATTTTCTCACTGCGAATACTCGCAGATTCACGTGACCGTGATTGGGATCTTTGTCACAGTAGGAGGAATGGTGGACGATGTCAACAAACAGCAGTCTTCAGTGACACAGCGCCAATGCCGGAATCAAAAGAGAATTATCGTAGTAGAATTTTCACTAGTTATCTAACCATTTATAATGACTAATTTCTATATACTTAAGTAATCAGTTCCATTTGCGCACCGCCCCCGAGCGGTAGTGCATTCAGTCCGCGCTCCGTCCTCGTGCGGTAGTGCAACCTCTCGCCCGCGCGCCCCGCTCTCCCCGGTTCACACAATCGCCGTAGATGAATCACTTGTTTTTTCGCACCGTTCTCCCTCGCTTCGGCGGGGAGGTCTGAGCGCGCTGTGCCTCTATTGTTCTTTGTTACTATTGGGTTACTGTTTTTTTTGTGTTTATTTTTTTATTATTGTTATAATTTGTTACCTGCACATAGTTAGTGTTCTTGAAAAACGTTCCTTGTCCTTTTGAGGACAAGGGGTCGTTCTTCCCGGAGCAAGTGCTTCCCTGAATAAACGTCAGCCCCCCCCCGCTCTCCAAACCAACATGTCTACCATAGGCATGAAACATGGTCTTGCACGCTTTGGGCGTTTTCCCCGCTTTTCCCCGCGCCCCGGCCCAAGGGCCCGGCCCACGTCGAACCTCCTCCTCCCGGAAGAGGACCGCCCACAGCTCCACCGGCTCCAACGGTCATCGATACAGCCCAATTCACGCTAGTGAAATCCAAGCGCGGCCCGAAGCGCGCCGCAACTTCCCGCACTCCCCCCGCCCCGGCAGCCACCGCCGCCGCCCGTGCCCCCTCCGCCGCTGCCTCAACCCTCGCAGCCCCAATCGTTGCCTCGACTTCAACAGCCCCTAACGCTGCCGCCTCTCAGTCGAAAGACACTATCGCCAAGCCAGCAACCCGCTGCGCTCCCAAACCGGCTTAAAGGCAAGCCCCGCCCCCTCGAACCGGACCTTGTCTAAGTTGAAGTTTACACAGCTGTCCAAAACAGGGTTTCAAATATGACCAAGCCACCAATGTCGGCGAGGCCACCAAATTAAGGCCGGCGTCAATAGAAGACTTCCGGAATATAACCCGTCTCTTCACGACCGAGCGTGTGTCCTATCACACATACGCTCTCGCCGAAGAAAGAAAAATCAAGGCGGTCCTCCGCGGAGTTCCTTATGAACTCGCAAACGAGGACATTCTGGAAGACCTTAAGTCCCAAGGCTTCCCCATAGAGGCTGTGCTCAAGATGCACAGCAGTAGGGGCGAGAGATTTAACCTCGCCCTCCTCGTTCTTACCGATGTGCAAGAGGCGAAGGCAATCTTCCGCGAGGTACACACTGTGTGCGGCCTGTCGCGTGTAAAGATCGAAGCCCCACACCGGCGCGGTTACCCAGCGCAGTGCCACCGCTGCCAACTCTATGAGTACGCGGCAGCCAACTGCTCAGCCCCACCCAGGTGCGTTAAGTGCCCAGAACCCCATCACTCGAAAGAGTGCCCTCGGCCCAAAAATGCCGAATCTCCACCCGCATGTGTCCTATGCGGACAAACAGGCCACCCGGCCAGCTTTAGAGGCTGCCCTCGCGCTCCTCGCCCACTTCTGAGCCACAAAGCTCCACCCCAGGTCAATAACCGAAATTTCCCGGCTCTTGGAAGCCGCATGCCCCGCCAGGGCCGCCCCTACCACAGCCCCCTCAGGGCTCATCTCAGCCCACACAGGGCATCTATCGGCCCCCTCAGGGTCCTCCACGGGTCCCTTTAGGCCACCTCAGGGCCCTCCACGGCCCCTTATGAGCCTTCCGCTCTCCCAGCCTGCGCCGCTCCCAATAAACCCTTGGTTCCCAAAGGCAAATAATATCCCGTGGCCCTCTGCCGACCCACAAAAACAGGCAGACCCTATAGTAGATGATCTAAGCCTAGCGTCCAACACTATGAATAAGATCAATATAGGGGAAATCTCTATCCTTGCGCGTAAACTGCGCGCTGCTCAGTCCCCTCAGGACCGTCTCCTTGCTCTTGCTGAGCACATCGACCTACTACGGTCGTTGTAATATTTTTTATAATTACTATGCCGGAGCCCTCTGCTCCCGCAATATCGCACGGTCGTACCAAACCAAAGGGTTTGTCCCTTGTTTCGTTCGATATCCGCGGTTTGCGAAATAACCTCCCAGAGCTTAGGCTATTTCTTCGAGATCGCGAAGCCGACCTCCTCCTCCTTCAGGAGACCCACCTCAGCCCTAAGGTCTCTAAAGGCCTCTCTATTAAAAATTATTCACTTCTTTGTAATGACAGACCCGACCGCAAAGGCGGCGGTACTGCCATTTATTACAAAAAGTCCCTTAATCGCTCCCACATCCCCACTCCGACGTTTACCAGTATGGAAGCCACTATCACTAGATTAGCCAAGACTGGACACCAGTCTATCATTATAGCCTCTTGCTATATCCCTAGCGGAATACAGCAAGTTAGAGTTAAGAGTGATTTCGAAGCCATCCTTGCATTAGGCGACTCAGTCATTATGTTTGGCGATTTTAACTCCAAGCATACTGAATGGACCTGCCGCACTACTACTAGTAGTGGCAGGGTGCTGCTCAATATCATTCAGTCTCTCGACCTGACTGTCTACAGTCCTCTCGCTGTCACCCACTATCCCGACAACATTAACTACGCTCCTGACGTGCTAGACTTTGCTCTAGTTAAAGGAGTCTCACTTCACCTTAGAGCAATCGAGTCTCTTCGATGATCTGGCGACCTCCGTCCTGTATCCCTCCTTCTTGGCCATCAGCCACCTCCAACTCCCACTACCAAAATTTACATCAACTGGTAGGGCTTCAGGAAGTCTCTAGCCTCGGCTATAGACTCTTCGGACCCTCCCATAACCCTTTCTTCCGATGTCCTCGACAGTACGGGGAAAATAGACACCGCGGTCGAAAATCTCACCTCTCTTATAACATCATCTCTTAAAGAGAATGAAAAGGTTGTCCCGGTTGCTAAAACTAGTCTTCCCCTAGATATTAGCAACCTACTAAAAGCCAAAAAAGCTGCCCTCCGTAGAGCTGCACGCTATCCCACTCCCGAGTATAGACTCGCAGCCCACCGCCTTTAACGCAAACTCCGTTACCGCCTCAAAGACTTCAGAGACCTCGAAAGGGGCAATCTCATGGAGAAAATTTCCTCCTCTCACACAGCGTACTACCAGATGGCGAGAGCCCTCCGGATAGACGCTATCACTCTGTCTCGTCCCGACGGCCCTATTGCCTTCGAGGACGAAGAAAAGGCTGGCTTCGCCGACAGCGTCGCCGCTCAATGCTCTCCTAGCTCACAACCCACTGGCCCCCTACATATCCAACTAGTGGAGGACGAGGTCTGTCGCCGGAACTCGCCCCCCCACCGCTTCTGACACTATCACTGTGTCCAAAGATGATCAAAGAACTTAAGCCCAAAAAAGCACCGAGTGCGGATGGCATCTCCAACCAAGCCCTCAAACACTTTCCGGAGCAGGTGATCGCCTTATTGGCTATAAACTTCAACGCTTGCTTCGAATTCAGCTACTTTCCTACCTCTTGGAAAGAGGCAACTGTCATAGGCATTCCCAAGCCAGGCAAACCCTACCACCTGCCCTCTAATCACCCTCCCATCAGCCTCCTCAAGGCCATGGGCAAACTTTTCGAACGAGTTATTCTCGTGCGCGTGAGGCGCCATTTGTTTCCCACAGACGGCGACCCCCTTGTCATCCCTCAACAATTTGGGTTTCGTGCCAAACACTCGTGCCCCCAGCAAGTTCACCGCATAGTGGAATATATCCTACGCGGTTTTTATCCTCGTCGTCAAAAGACCATCGCGGTCTTTTTCGACATTGCCAAGGCATTCGAGAGAGTCTGGCATGAGGGCCTTATCTACAAATTGTACGACTTGGCCTCCCTGACCACCTCGTCCGCCTTGTAGCCTCCTATTTGAAGGATCGTATCTTTCGTTTTAGACACGAACACACGCTATCCTCTACTCGTCAAATCAAAGCCGGTGTCCCTCAAGGCTCTGTTTGTCCCCTCCTATATATACTCTTCACCAACGACATCCCTATCCCGTCGAATGGTGTTAAACTAGCCCTCTTCGCAGATGACACAGCCCTTTACTCTAAAGGCAACTCACTGCCACAGATTCGGAACAAGATCCAAAAGTCAGTTAACGACTTAGACTTAGGAGCTTGGTTCCAAAAATGGCGTATCGACGTAAACCCGGAGAAGAGATCCGCCGTTTGCTTCGAATATAAACGACGTCGTCTCACCGCCACTCCGTCAATCAGGATGTTAGGAACCCCTGTCCCATGGCAAACAAAATCCAAATACTTAGGCGTCACCCTTGATGCAAGGCTCACTTTCGAGCCCCATATCAAGATGGTAACTCGCACCACGCGATTTTATATGGGTAGGCTCAACAGCATGTTGGGCAGACACAGTAAAATGGCTCTCCGCAACAAGCGAACCCTATATAAGGTCTGCATAAGATCTGTCATGACCTACGCGACCCCATTTTCGCACATACTTTTTTTTTGATGTTTCTGCTTCATGGCAATCTGCTTTCCAGCAATAAGCCACTAGTTTGTCTGATTTCTCAGTTTATGTTTTCCTCAAGAGTCATACTTGTATGAAACTTTTCACACGACTCTCTTGATGTCAGGTGGTAAATCTTTTATGTAGGCTCGGTACGTCACTTCTTTTTAGCCGGGTATGCTGAAGAGCGAATTCTCCGCTCAAAGCGTGTGCCAGTTTGTTTACATGGGCGGTCAGCTTCTCCTGGTATTTCAGGCTGTTTTGAGCTGCTTCCTGTCGAACTGTTTTTAGGCCGAGGTCGAGGTATATGTATCTATTACTTATACTACGAGGGATGCCAAACATTGTTCTCAGAGCTTTGGTCTGGAATCTCTCCAAGATATCTATATTACTGTTGCTGGCCGTTCCCCACAGTTGTATGCCGTAAGTCCAGATTGGTTTTATGGTGGTTTTATACACTAGCATCTTGCTGTTGGGATTTAGTTGTGATTTGCGTCCCAGTAACCAGTTCAGTGTCCGCAGTTTTCCATCTAGTTGTTTGCTCTTTGTCCAAATGTGTTTTTGCCATGTAAGTTTCCTGTCTAGGTACATGCCCAAGTATTTTGCGTTATTTTCTTAAGGGATAACTTTGCAGTTTAGCGTTACCGGTGGACATGTTTCTCTCCTAAGAGTAAACGTTACATGTACCGATTTGCTCTCATTGGCTTTTATTCTCCAATGGTTCAGCCACCTCTCAACTTCTATCAGGTGGTTTTGCAGCTGTGATGATGCCGTTTCTGGGTTGCTATGAGCCGACAGAAGCGCCGTATCATCAGCGTATGTCGCAGTCGTGGTGTAGTCAGTTGTTGGGATATATGCTATAAAAATGAGGTATAGTATAGGGCCCAATATATGCCCTGAGGGACACCTGATTTTAATTCGTGTACTTCTGAGAGATCATCGCCGTACTTCACTTGGTAGCATCTTTTATCTAAGTAGGATTTCAATATTAGGAATAGACAATGTGGGAGATGCTTCTTTAGCTTGAACAGGAGGCCGTCATGCCATACCTTATCAAACGCTTGGCTAACATCCAAAAAGACTGCAGAGCAATATAATTTGTTTTCGAGGCATCTGCTGATGGTGTCAACTATACGATGTACCTGTTCAATTGTCCCGTGTTTTTCCCGGAATCCAAATTGGTGGTTCGGTAATACTGTACTTAGATGTTCTTTCATTCTGTTAAGCAATATCCTCTCAAACAGTTTGCCAATAACTGGTAGCAGGCTGATAGGTCTGTATGAAGTAGCTTCGTGTGGGGGTTTACCGGGTTTTGGCACCATGACTATATGTACAATTTTCCATTGCCCAGGGAAATGTTCAAGTCTTAAGCTAGCATTAAAGATGTTAACTAATTTCATTATACCTTTATGAGGCAGGTTTTTAAGTAATTTGGCATCAATGAGGTCATAGCCGGGTGCTTTACCATCCTTGAGGTTCCTTATTTCTTCCACAATTTCTTTAGGGCTGGTACTTTTTAGTGGTAAACACATTTGATTCGCTGATTAGAGGTATTCCTTGATTTCCATAGTGTGTTCGGGATTGTTTTCAGGGAGTGGTTGGAAAACTGTTTTCAGATGTTCCGCAAAGATTGTTACCTTTTCTTTATCTGATCTAGCCCATCCTCCTTTTTCATCATTGATAGGTTATATGGTTTTTCGGGCGCTTTAGATTCTTCGTAGCCTTCCATAGTGAGTAGTTTGTGTCTCTCGTTGGATCTAGATTTGAGAGATAGTGTTGAATATTATCATTTTCTAGGGTGCTGATAAGAGCTTTAAGTTCATTTGAGTGTCTATTGAATGCAGTTTTATCACTTGGATATCCCGTAGTATGCCAGATTTTTCTCAAACGTCGGCGCTCTTGTATTTTCTCTTTAATATCTTTTGGATATGAGTTATGTTTCAGAGGTTGTCCATTACCTGTCCTTTTTGGAGTTGCAGAATTGGCAGCAATGTGAATAGTCATATTAAGTTGTTCCAGTTGTCTTTCAATTTTTTCTATTGTATTAATTTTGGTCTTTAGTTCTGTCTCTGTTGTGATTTTATTTTTATAAATTGTCCAGTCTGTAGTATTCGAGTTGTATATCCTTAGGAGCGGTGCTACTAGATTAACTGTTGTAGTAACATTCAGTATAACTGGTGTGTGGTCAGATGTGAGATCTATTCGAAGTTCTATGTTTAAGTAGTTCTATGTATGTTTTTAACAATAAAAAAGTCCAATAAGTCTGGGATACTTTGTCTGTCGGTAGGCCAATAGGTAGGTTCTCTGCCGGAGTGACATTCTAATTTCATCTCTACTGTGGCTTTACAAAGATGCCTCCCTCTAGTATTGTTACTAGATCCCCGATTTAAATGTTTTGAATTCCAGTTACCAGCACATATAAATCTGTTACCCAGTGTAGAAAAATATTTCGCGAAGTCGTTGGCAGATATAGTATGTTTTGGAGGACAATACACAGCGGAGAATATAGTTTCTAGTTTGCTGTCTACAAGTTTAATAGATGTTGCTTGTATTTTTTCTGTTCGGTATTCCTCTATGGGGTAGTGTTTGATATTATTTTTAATAATTGCTGCTGTTCCGCCATGGCTGTTCCCAATTGGATGATTGGTTGTGTATACTGTATAATTATTAAAGTTTATGTGTGTTTTCGGTGTAAATCTTGTTTCAGAGATTAGTGCTATGTCAATCATCTCTGTTCTGAGAAAAAGTCTCTAATTCTTGACGTCCTGCCACAAGGTCAAACGGTCAAAAACCATTACTACTACTTACAAGTTTAACGCCGCGTGAAGAAAATTAAAAAAAAAACGCCCGGTTTTGTTGAAAACCAATTTTTGGTTTTTGCACCACGATAATGCACCTGCTTACACTTCATTTATTGTTCGTCAGTTTTTGGCCACAAACAATACTATAACAATGCCCCAGTCTCCATATTCAACAGACATGGCTCTGTGTGACCGTCGTTTTACAAGCATAGACATTAAAAGCGCATCGCTGAAAGAGCTAACGGCTATCCCAAAGATCGAGTTTGAGAAGTGTTTCGTGGATTGGAAGAAGCGCTAGCATAAGTTCATAATATCAAAGGAGGAATATTTCGAATTTTTTTCCTTTTTAAATTTTTTTTTCAAAAAACGAAAATTCCCGTTTTTTTCTGAATACACCTCGTATTGTACATAGAGGATATACAGTGGTATGTAACGAATATATAGCATAATTTACAGGGTGGTCTGACAAGTTTCCGACCTGAACGTGATGATATTGAATGTAGTTGTGCTTCTTTTGACAGTTACTCACCAAAATTTCAGCCATTTTGGACGAGTAGTTAAACGTAGTGATTATATTCTCTTTGGCGTAGTTGTTATTTGACAGTCGTTTGAGTGAGTCGATGAGTTTTTGTGAAAATGGAAAAAAAATTATATCAAGCTGACATTAAATTTTAGTCTTTGAAAGGCAATAAGCCTAAAAAAAGACATGTACTCTGTGTATGGGGACTCTGCACTATCATTTACCACAGGCAAATTTTGGGCAGCTGAATTTAAACGTGACCGTGAGAGCTTGGGATACGATGAACGTTCGGGACGTCAAAAATCTGCAACAACTGACGATTACATCGCTAAAATTTAGCAAATGGTGCTAGGCGACCGCCGAATTTAAATAAAAAAGATAGCAGATGCTATAAAAATATCCATAGAACGTGTTTGTCACATATGTGATATTCTGTGTTCACTAGTGTCACAAGGCTGCGTGTTATCGCCAACGCTGTTTCTTCTGCATAACAATGATATGTTGCAAACCCGTAACATTCATTGCTATGCAGATGACAGCACTGGTGATGCTCTTTACACCGGCCGAGCCAATATTTCTCGGGAAAACGTCTCCGAGTGCCGGGACAAACTTGTGTCTGAAGTCGAGTCTTTGCTGAACAGAGTCTCGGATTAGGGGCGACTAAATCTAGTCCAGTTTAACCCCCAGAAGACACAAGTTTGCGCGTTAACCACTATAAAGAACCCCTTTGTCGTATCTCCTCAGTTTCAAGGCAGTTCCCCTTGTTGCCTCAGCCAGTATCGGAATCCTCGGCGTCGATATATCGAGTGACGTGCAGTTTCGTGGTCACTTGTAAGAGAAGGCCAAATTGGCCTCTAAAAAGCTTGGCGTGCTCAGCAGAGCGGGACAGTATTTCATGCCGGCACACCGCCTGCAACTTTACAAGTCGCAGGTTTGGCCGCACATGGAATACTGTTCCCATCCCTCGGGCTGGGGCTCCCCAGTAACAGCTCATTCCAATTGACCGCATCCAGCGCAGAGCGACTTGAATCGTCGACGATCGAGTGCTTTCCGATCGGCTCGATTTACTGGCACTACGAAGAGATCTTGCATCTCTTTGCATTCTCTTTCGCATATACCATGGGGAGTGCTCTGAGGAATTGTTTGGATTAATCCCAGCTGCCAAATTTCGTGAACGCACTACGCGGCAAACGTCCCGATACCATCCACACCACCTGGATGCTTGGCGCTACACCACTGTACGTTTCAAAAGGAGTTTTCTTCCGCGTACAAACTCTCTGTGGAATAGTTTACCAATGCCGATTTTTCCATCTCCAAAAAGCAAAACTCATTACAGGAGCATACCACGTATCATTACTTGACAAACTGAAGGCAGAAATTGCGGAAAAACGCTCACATTTGCAGAAAAAGCAAATCCTGTTTCATCACGACAACGCGCCGTCTCACACCTCAGCGGTCGCCATGGCGAAAATCCACAAATTATGGTTTGTACTACATCTAGCCCTAAGCGACTTCTTTTTGTTTGAGGACAGAGATTTTAGTCAAATGATGACGCAATCACCTTCGTGAACAATTATTTCGCAGAGAAAAATGTCGAGTACTATTTGGACGGGTTAGAGAGATGGGAGCATCGCTGGTAGAAGTGTGTGGAGTAACAAGCAGACCATGTAGAAAGATAAAAGTAATTTTTAAGAAAAATGTCTTGTATCTTTGATAGGTCGAAAACTTTTCAGGCTACACACGTATATGTACGATTTTAAAGAATTTTTATCATTCGTTTGCTTAATTTAAGTATTTACTATTTAAAGTATAAATAGAAATCCAAATATCCAACCATGTAAGATGTGAAAAGTTTCATAGGTTGCTGAAAATATTAATTAGATATTTTACTTAACCGTTACTTGTAAATTAACTTTCTAATGAAAATATTCGCAGAAGAACCAGAACAACTGCATATGTATCACAAAAGATTTGCAAGCTGAAGTGGCCATGGGCTGGCTATATAGCTCCAAAAAACGAAAACAAATAAGAAAGAAAGGTTTTTGTGATGCAACCTTAGAATGTACAGAATGGGTCCCACATATATGCAATAAATGAAACCATATACTTGTTATCGCCTTTGCTGACGATATACAAAAAATGAACGTAATCGGTCCAGTAATTAGGTCAAAAAGTAGAGTTTTAATTTTAAGCAAATTTGAACACTCTATAGAATTGGGTCACTAAGTCAATGATTCAATGAACTTGAATCCTTGAACATTAAAAAGCGACGTTGCCACGCAGTGCAAACTATTGGTATTGCGACATATCGACAGCGGTGTCTTTTGTCGGCGTGCCACACGCGTGCAACGTTGTCACTCTTCCAAGGGGTCAAGGTACGCTGGTACTTGTCTAAACAGAGTGTTCACTTTTACTGAATTTATTTTAATATTTATTTTGTTTGAAAATTTCACTTTTTTATTTTACGGGTTTTAATTTAATATTTAATTTTTCTACACTTCTACAGACTAGTACTACTTGTGGTTTCATTTATTGCATATATGTGGGACCCATTCTGTATAATTACAGTAGTATAGAGCGCGCATATTGCACAAATTGCTCAGTACGCATTGTAGGCAATTGCGCTAAAGATAGTTATATTGATGAGTGTATGACAGATAGAGATGTATCAATTACGTGCCGATCGGCAACGAGCTATCGATAAGTAGTAAATAAATATCTTTGTTATAGTCAACCAAATCTAAGAAATACCTTTTGACAGCTGTCAGACTTATTGGACTAGGCATGCCAACCGAAAAATCGGTACGTACAATATTCGATTCTTAAGAAAAATCGGTAACTATTCTTTAGTGTTGGTAATCATTTACATTTTTGTTTCGATTAGTACCAGAATAAATTAGAAAAGGATAATTTAATACACACAATTTATGAGTTTCGTCGTATTTATTGTTACTGATTATTTCTAAAGGCAAAGATAAAAAATTAAGATTAAAACTATTAAAAAATTAATTTATTCAATCACTATCACTACAACTACTTGAGCTGTCGTTGTTTAGATTAAATTATTATTTCATGTCCGCTTCCACTCCTTTGTATTACGGCCATTTTACATCTACTTTCTTATTCACTTGGATTGACGCTTTGTCGATTTGAACATAACGCTGACAAACCGGGGTGTTGTCCATTATTACGGTACTATTCGCAGGAATATTTTCTAAAAGGGTTATAAACCACTCCTTGAATTTTTCTGCATCTATTTCCTCATGGTATTCTCTTGCACTCTTTGAATGGAAAGTTAATAAAGAATTTTCTACAAATCCTCTATCGGCAGATCCTGTATGGTCATGGAAAATTATGAAACGCCCACCTTTTCCTAAAAGCACCTTCGAGCAAGATGCTACAGGGTCGTCTGTCCATATTTTCGGTACAGCATGGATGGCGCTTAACTCCGTTACATCAATGAATATAACGTTGTCCCGATTGGTTGTATTTTTCATTTCTCTTAAAAATGTTATTCCTTTTTTGTCATGCCTCTCTATAATTATTTTGCGTTTATCAATGTTTTAAATGGTTCTCAATTACTTTATACTACTATTGTACAAGCCGGTATCTACTAAACTTTCTTGTAACTTCGCCGCATTAGAGAATTCTGTGAAATAGCCGTAGACATGGTTTCTAATAATATCTGCTTCGAATCGATCTATACCTGTTACTGGTATATTCTTCTTTCGTTTTCTTAGCTTGTGAAGTAAATCATTCTCACTGCCTGAATGATCGTAGTTTTTAGTGACGATCTTAGCAACGGTGCATTGCACGCCAATTCCAAGTGCTTCACCGAACCGACCACACTTGTGTCACTGTGCAAAAAGGACCCACTGGTTTATAACTCACGTTCAAAATGTTCATGTAATTTCACCACTAATGCACGAGCCCGACTGTTTAAAGTGCGACTACCATAACTAACTACGTCCTTTTTTCGAAATTGTAATCATTTGCTTAGTCTAGTATATAAATTGCCAAGGTCAAGGAGTATAGAAGAATCAGTCCAAAATTATTGTCTGAATCACAAAATAAAAAGACAAACATAAAGTCACCAAATTACGCACAGAAACGTAGACAGAGAAACTTATAGACAAATTGACGCCTTCTTTCGCATTCGCACACGAAAAAGATAGATTCATGCAAACGTCTTGCATAAAAATGAGACAGAGCGATGTGATTGTTTGTCGCTTTCTCCGTGCCGGTTTGTTTTGTTTAGAAAACTGCACATTGCTAAACAACTTTGACAGTTCGTAGCGATCTAAGGAGTTTTACAAGTTGGTCTAAGTGAGAAAAAAGTGTTTTGTGAGCTTAAGATTGGTGAATCTTGTTCAGTTCAGTTCTTAGAAAATTTTTTTTTTTTATCTAA